TGTTGGAGCCCTTTGCACTGGCAGTGCAGGGGCCAGAAAGAAGGCGCTGGAGTCGCACTGGACCTCGCCCGCTGGGCCTCCACCCAGACTCTGTTCCCTGCACTCTACCCTTGAATAATTACAGCTTATACCGTTTGCTCAGCAGAGGACTTCCAAAGGTTATGCGGATTTCCTACAGTAGAGCAACTAATCAGAAGTAGAATAAATAAACGTATTGTGTTGATCTTACCCTAAAACCATGTCACAAATGTGGTAGAAGAGATTGTGTTATAACTTTCTTTCCTTCTGGCTCTAAACAGCTACAGCTGCTCCAACTACAGCAGGAGAGCAGAGCTTAACCTCAAAACTTAAGAAGCTACAAGAGGCCATTGAACAGAGGACAAAGTTAGAAATTGGGGATGTTGTCCGAATCAGAGGCTATATCCGCACCTACAGGGAAGAGCGAGAAATTCATGCCACCACTTATTGTAAGTGTAACAGATTTCGACCACATTGGTTGTTATTCTGGGTGTGTGTCTAGTAAACTGTTGTTTGGCTAAAAGTCAGACTTACAAAAATTTTGTGTAATTTAACTCTATTTAATGGGGAAAATAATACTGTGTAACATGCTTTCTTTAGAAAAGCAGCATTTCTTAATTTTGTAGAGAAGTAATTATAAATTGGGAAAGAAAATGAATCATTTACTATATATAGTTGGCAAGTTTATTTGGACAACATAGTAGAGTTTCCAAAGTACTTTGAAGGTCTCAGTGTCAATCCATTAGGGCAAAGTATTCATATTCTTCAAAATGATGGAAATTTCTTGAACACCATTGAATCTGTTGACTTTAAATGAAAACAGCTATGTGACAGTCCTCCATCATCTTCCCTTTGTGCTGTGCTGGCTGGTTTTCAGTTGGAAATCTCAAGGACAGGGGCTGTCCACCAGAGGAACAGAGGAATGCCACACTGATGTGCCTTCCCAGTCCCAGCCGATGCCCTGGCCAAGCCTGTGGCACTTGGGGCATTGCATTCCCTCTTGCAGGATGCCTGGGAACCACTTGGTGACCCTGGGCACCGACGAGAAAGAAGGCCCACCCAGTGCCTCGTTTACTGTTGTCCTGCTGGCACTTTGGACATGGGGAAGAACTGATCTCAATGTCGTTTCTGTGACATCTTTTTTCTGGTGCTTGTTAGATAAAGTGGACGATCCAGTGTGGAACATTCAAGTTGCAAGGATGCTTGAGCTGCCCACGATCTACAGGAAAGTTTACGACCAGCCTTTCCGCAGCCCGGCCCTGGAGAAAGAAGAGGCACTGAGGTAAGCTATGTCTTGTCACTGCTGAAAACATAGCCACGCAGTGGGAGCCCACATGCTCGGTCAGCCTGGGTTCAAATCCTGAATCATCCGCTTCTTGCTGTGGGGCTCTGGGCAAGAGCTCTAACCCTCTGTATACTTCAGTTTCCTCATCTGCAAAGATAATAGTACAGATGTTCTAGGGTTGTTGTGAGGAGAATATATGTGCAGTTGGAGTCACTGAAGGAGTGGAGGTGGGAGCAGAGAAAAACACTTAGAAGAAATAATAGCTGACATTTTTCCAAGTTGATAAAAGCTAAAAACTCACAGATCCATGAAACTCAACAAACCCCAAGGCAAGAAACCCGAAGAAAACTGCACCAAGGCACGTCCTAATCGAAATGTTATACCATAGCACATAGTAACCAAAAGCCTATAAGAAGAGCTACACCGGTCATTCCCAACCATAGGGGACTAGGAGGAATTAGAATACATGCATATTTATATGTATTATATGCTAATATATGCATAGAAGAACTCTGAGAGGAGCCAGAGAGAACCAATAACAGCAGCTCCCTGGGGGTGGGGACTGAGAGGTAGGATGGGAGGAAGATAAAAGGCTTTTCACTGTGTACCCTTTAATGTTTTTTAACATGTGAATATATTGCATATTCAAAAAACTATATTAAAGTAAAACTATAGACCTGTATAAAATAAAAAGTGAAAATTCTCCATTTTCCTGTCTCCCACATCAGTACCATTCCCCAGAGGTTACCACTGTTTATAGGCTGATGTGTACTCTTTTAGTTCTGTGTTTACAGAAGTGCAAATATTCACCCATATATTTTGCAGGTTGTCATTTGCTTTTATACAAAAATGGGACCATGCCTTTCATGCTGTTCTGCAGCTTGACTTTTTTTTTTTTACTCTATGATGAATAGCTCTGTTGGCTCCTATTGTTCCACCTCATAATTTTAAATAACTGCACAATGTTCACTGTATGAATTACTCTTTACGTCAAAAAATGAGCGTCAATATAGTGTTGCATTTTCTACCTAGCTTCCTGTTTTCTGCACACCAAAAAGGAGCAAAGGTGACAGTTTTCTGTGGGACTTTTCCTCCCCCCCAGCAGCAATCCAGGTGCCCTGGACCTTGCCAGTCTCACGAGTTTGCTAAGTGAAAAAGCCAAGGAATTCCTCATGGAGAACAAAGTGCAGACCTTTTACCAGCAGGAGCTGGAGATAGTGGAGTCTTTGCTGTCCGTCGCCAATCAGCCTGTGATTCACAGCACCTGCTCTGACCAAGTGCGTGCAGCCTGCCCACGTGAGAGAGTTCCAGTCCCTGTCCCAAGTCTGCAGTTAGGCAGTCGGACTAACAGGGTGGGCCAGGGAACAGAGACGATGGTTCTATCACATGTTGTTCCTATTCTGGAAAGAAACAACTGACCACTAAGAACTTGAAATGAGGCTGTACCTGCCCTTTCTCCTTCCTTACTTAATCTCATTACACTTAATCTTCAAGTAGAAAATAGTAATAGTCCAAGGTTCGTGGTACTTAGCTATTAATACTCACTGAGGTGTGTATTTAATCTTAGCAGAAGCCAAGTGAGGGGGAAGTAGATGACAAGAGATAATTATCCATCCAAGATGATTTATTGGTCAGCAAGATCTGTAACCTGAACCATGGTTTTTAATGACTTGCTCTCCCTTTTTCAGAACAAGGTTAACCTATTGTGTTTTAGGAGTTTAAATAAAGACCGAGTTGTATTTAGTCTAGTTTATCTGTAAAATTTCAAGAACACTTAAGTAATTTTTTATTCTTCTTGAAAAGAGTTGCCTCCATATTTTTTACTCCTAGTGTTGTAGGTGAACTTGTTTGGTTGCTTGATGTTTGTTTATTGCTTGGAATTAAGAATTATTTGACCTATATAAACATGAGGTCTAGCAAAAAAAAAAAAAGAATTGTTTGAGACTTTGGTTTTAGGCTTTCCCTTTCATTACAGTTCTTAGGTTTGTTGGTGTTGTAACACCATTTATTTACTTTTACTTCTTTTCTTTACCACACCAGGGAGTGATCTCAACTTAAGCGTCACCTTCTTGCCCTCCCTGGCCATTTGCTCTGATCACCACTTGGTCCCTGACTCATACCTGTTTCCATATCTGTGAATATCACTGGTATTTATTTGTTTGCCTGCCTGTTCCTCAACCAGAATTTAAGTTCTGTGTCTCTCTTGTTCTTTGCTCTCCACCCAGGGCCTATAGCAGGGCTAGTGTAAAGCAAGTTCTCAGTAATTATTTGTTGATTGAAGGACTGAGGGATTTTTTTTTAATTCAAATCGTCCCAGAAAGCATATAGTTAAAAATAAGATTCCTTCCCATCCTCTCTCCTGCTTCCTTTTTCCAGAGACAAGCACCATTACTAGTCTCTTGAATATCCTTCTGGATATAGTTTGTGCAGCTATAAACTCTAAGTAGTTGTAGCCCTTTCTTTTTTACACAGATGGTAGCATGCTGTAGTTTACTATGAGGCCTAGCTTTTCATGGCTTTTCATGGCTCAGCATGTCTTACAGATCCTTTCCTGGCAGTACACAGATTTGCCACCACAGTCTTTGGTGACACGTACCATAATGTATGTCTCTCCATTCCTGGACTATTCACATGTTTTTTGGTCTCTTGCCATTACCAACAGGGCTGCTGTGAATGCCCTCACTAGGTAACATAAGTTATTCGTGATTCTATTGGAACAGATACCAGGTCACCCTCCTGACCTCCTAGGCACGGCCACTGCGTCTCAGTTTTGTTTGTGCAGATAATTATCTCTTTTGGGCAACAGGCTGATGTGCCCAGTGACCCATGATTTCATATGGGGAGAAGAGGGATATAATTTCAGAAAACACCAAGGTGGAAAGGGTCATGACTGGCTGCTTTATTCTTTGCCAAGGTTGCTTCTAAACAGTTGCAGCTCTCCCACTGTCTGCTGACAGCAAGATTGACCTTCCCACTTAATCATTTAGAGAAGGCTCAAAGCCAAATTGACCTCCTAGGATTCTGATGACTCTATCAGCATGTTTGGAAGGAAATTTAAAGCTTAGTGAAGACCACATTCTTCACATGAAGCCAGCTCTTCTGTGATAGCTATAATTAAGTGAGAGAGAGAGAGACTTAAGGACTCTTTGAGGACTGAAAGGCTCCTGCATTCAGAATGACCTGTGGGAAACTTTTGGTGTGATAGCTTTTTGAAAATGTTTAGAGCAGAAATTTGTGCGTGCCCAGTGCTGCATGTTTAAAAAGAAATGAATATGGCACTATATTTGCTGTCTTTGGAAAGTTTTTTTCATCCATTATGAATTAGTCCCTCACATGGCTCTGGTTGGAGAGGTCAGTGTCATTAAATTGAATTCAGTTTAATAGAGGCCTGGGAGACTAAAGATGCTTCACAATGATGGTGAAACCCTAGATCCTTTGGCACTTTCTATTGTCGTACAGATGAAAGCTTAACAAAAAAATCATTGTGATGGCGTTATAGTTTAGAGGCAGAGAGAGAGAGCAGGCTTGAATGTTTCCTCCTTTCTTTCTTTTTTTTTTTTTTTCATAGTGGCCCTTCTTAGCAAATCCAGAAACATGATAAGCAGGTCTTGCAAAACCATTGTTTCTTTGACAGCTGGATGAATGTTGAGTTTGTTTGGGAGTGAGGACTATATATATTTCAAGATCCACCCAGTTCCTGACCTGAGACGAGGAGAGACTTACTAAGGCTCAGCGTGTTCAACCAGTGGCTGTTTTTGTCTATGAGCAATTTCGGTTTCCTAAATCTGATGAGTCTGTCATTGCCCTTTTGAAAAAGACAAGAAAGACACAGATCCCTGTCCAGGAAAAGCTGCTGGGAGGAAGAGACGATTGAGGCTTTACCCTTGAGACTGGTCTTTAGAACCAGGCCAGGGAAACATGTCCCCGGGTCAGCTGAGGCAAATGTTTTTGGAAAGGAAGCTTCACATGTTGTTTATATTTACAGGGAGCCATTTCTGTGGAGTCCTCCTTGTTCACAGCTGAAACTGTATTTTTAATCTCCTAGGCCCAGCATTCTCTCTTCCTGCTACTGATCTTACTAAAGTCCAGGAGGAGGAACCAGGCTCTGTATGGTCTGGGGATAGCCATCATTTTTAATGACAGGAATAATCATGTCACAATCACTTCTAGTTAGTTTCTAGTGTATTTCTGTCTTGCTAAGAGATATAATAAACCTGACCCTTAGAATCCTTACGTTAAATTGACTACAGAAGATAGATCTCCTTAGAATTATAAAGATTAAGTGATTATAGCAGTTTGTGAAGGAGTCTCTATTAGGTTGATTGAGCGTCCCTTAAGTAAGAGCACTCATATATGAAATTAAAAGCAGCTTTGCCCTAAGCCCCCGTGAATAAAAAGAAATGCAGCTGACGATTGCTAGGTGAGGTGTTTATTTTAAACACACCCAGATAGCTTTTCTGTCCGTGGGAGTTGTCAAATATTTCTCAGCCTTATTCTCCCTTCAGAAAATGGATGCTGTCATACCCTGGAATGTTTGCCAATTTTTAGGCCCTAATGTCCTAATGACCAGGTTCTCCAGCTTGTTCTGTTAGGGAAAACCTTAGATTATTAATTTAATTAAGAGTGTTAGACTGTCATCTTTAGCCCAGGAAAGCATGTTTGTGAAACATCACCAGCATCTATTAGATTAACAAAACGCCTGTTTGGAAGGCCTCTTCTAAAAAGAGAAGTTTCTTTAGGAATGGAATTTGCAACATTTGAGACCTTTTGGAGGTTCTTTCCTCTCCTTGTCGCCTTGAGGAAATGTCTTCAGCAAATCTCAGCCACACTTTCTTTTTCAGCTTCGTTGGATATTGCCCCAGATGGCCTTTGTAAGTACCTTTCGTTAGAGGTAGGACTTTGCCTTCAAACACTTTTTGGGAAGCTTGGCCACATTTCTTTGGAGCTCTGATCTTTTTAATATCTTGGTAAATTTCTATCCTATTAAAAATGGATCTGTACCTTGAAGGACAGTTGTTGTTCACCATTTTCTTTGTTTTGCGAATGAATAGCAAATCCCCAGTGGACTAATAAGGATACAGCCTCTCTAGTGGGATACTTGTTTCTACTCATCTCACAGATACTTTATTGGTCACCTGATGTGTGCCAGGGAGGGGGTGACTGAGATGAAGTACAAAGTCCCCAACTCGAGAAGCACACTGTCCAGTTAACTGAGGTGGGACATAGGTGATAGCCTAGCTTCCTTGGGAATAAAAAATAGGGTGACCTGGTAGCCTCTGTAGGCAAACCTGTCTCTTAAAGAAGGGAAGAAATACTGAAAGTGAGGAGGCGAAGAGCTGACAGCAGCAGAGGTCCCTTCCAGGTGGGTTCTTGCCTCACTCAAAGGCCAATCTCCACCTTCAGCCTGGTGGACCGCACAGTGGGTCTCTGCACAGCTGTTTGCCTCCAGAGTCCTCCACTTAAAGAGACTGTTTAGTACTTACTATGTGCCGGAATCCCCAAATTATTTCAATATTTGTAAATATCCTTGAAGTCCCTAGGAAGAGATTATATATAGCCACAGTTTTAATGGAGAAAGGGGCTAATATGTATACAATATTTTGGTTCTGTATAAAAAGTCAAAGATTGTCCAACAGGAAGAGTAGCTTTTTGATTCTCCACTACCTATTATTGAATTAGACAAAAAAGCACAACTAAAGTATGGAACAGTTAAGGAGCGTGAGCCTGCCGGAGCATACTTTTCAGTCCTCCTAGATACATCCTGCTGGGATGGTACATTTCTGCATCTTTTTGACCTAGCAGATAAAAAGCCTGTTGGGCAGATTCATGAACCAGTTGGTCTAGGGAGTTGTTCTCAGATGCTATTAGGTGGGACTTATTTCTTTTCTTCTTTTTTTTCTTTTTCCTCTTTACACAGGTAGATAATAAGGACACCACTTCCAAGGCGATTCATAGTATATTTAAGAATGCTATACAGCTGCTGCAGGAAAAAGGACTCGTTTTCCAGAAAGATGGTAGTTTTGATAACCTGTACTATGTAAGAGACCTGCAACTTAATTTTTCTCCTTCATAGCTTTAATTAGAAATATATTTATTACTTACGGGCTGGGTGCGGTGGCTCACCTGTGTAATCCCACCACTTTGGGAGGCCAAAGGAGGAGGATCGCTTGAGGCTGGGAGTTCGAGACAAATATATTTATTACTTACAAGTAACCACTTACTGTTTTTAAAATTTATTAAGGAGGTACATAAAGTCAGAAGTGAAAGTTGGCCCTTACCTCTCCCCAAGGTACCTCTTTTAACAATACAGTTGACCCTTAAATAGCACAGGTTTGAACCGTGTAGGTCCACCACTCATATGTGGACTTCTATCAGCCAAATGCGAGCATGTGAAACCTACATATTAGGAGGGCTGACTTTTCATATACTTGGGTTCTGCAGGGCCGACTGTATGCACAGATTTTGGTATAAGCTGGTGGTCCTGGACCCAACTCCTGCATTTACTGAGGGACAACTGTATATCCTTCTAGACATTTATCTGTATGTTTACAAATGCACGCATATAAACGTGCTCCTGTGGCTTTTTTGTTTTATAAAAAGTGTGACCATCTTGTAAATCAGGATTTCTCAACCTCGGCACTATTTGGGTGAGATGATTGATTGTTACGGGCACTGTGCTGTGCATCATGGGATATTTAGCAGCATCCCTGACCCTCACCCACTAGATGCCAGTTGCTCCCCAGTTGTGACAACCAAAAATGTATCCAGACATTGCCAGATGTCCCCAGGACAGTTGGGAACTGCTACTCTAAATAATGCCCAGTGACTTTTTTGGTACCAAAATAGCACATGACAGGTACCTTTCTACATTAGTATTTAGACATCTACCTCATTCCTTTTAACATTCTCATGGCATTCCATACTATGGGTACTTGCCATACATTTTTTAGCCATTCCTTTGTGATGGACACTTACTGTGTTTCCAACTTTTGCCTTCACAGATAGTGTTGCTAGGGCATTTTTACACAACTATCTTTGTGAACTTAATGTCAGTATTTCTGAAAGATTGACTCTTAAGACTGGGCACGGTAGCTCACGGCTGTAATCCTAGCACTTTGGGAGGCTAAGATAGGAGGAGCACTTGGGGCCAGGAGTTTGAGACCAACCTAGGCAATGTAGTGAGAGCCCGTCTCTATAAAAAAAAATAGAAAAATTACCCTGGTGTGGTTTCACGCACTTGTAGTCCCAGCTACTTAGGAGGCTGAGGCAGGAAGATCATTTGAGCCCAGGAGTTTGAGGTTGCTGTGAGCTATGATGATGCCATTGCACTCTAGCCCAGGCTACAGAGTGAGACCCAGTCTCAAAAAAAAAAAAGATCAACTCTTAAAAGGAGAGTTGCTGATGCAAAGGGGCATGTACACTTAAGCTTTTGGACAACACAGTCTGGCCTCCCTAAAGGCTGTGCCAGTTGATAGTCCCAACAGGAGTACACCTGCTTGTTCTCCTCATTCTTTCTGAGTTAAAAGCTCACCTCTTGCTGTGGTCCTTTAATATTGGAGCAGCTAACCTGAAAACGGGCCCCCTCAGGACCACTGATAACAGTAGCATAGATGTGGGCTTCAGTCATGTGTGATTCTTCTAGAGACTGATCCACCCTCCGAGGTATCCCAGAAGTCTCACTATTTACAGAAAAGATTCCCAAGGGGAAGCCTTTCTTAATAGGACATTTCCTGATTTTGATATACCCTGGTGATTCCTCATTTTAGAGAGTTTTGGGAAATGAGGCTATGATTTACATACTGCTAGAACGACTTGTGAAAGAGGTATCCCAGTCTATAAGGGTGAGGATACACCTGGGTGGGAGGCCCGGTGGGGAGTGGTTGAGCTGGTTGCCTCCTGGGAGGTTGGAGAGGTTCCTGGGGCAGCTCACCTTGAGCCAGCCCCTGGGACACACATTCCTCCCAGGCATGCAGGGAGCTGCCCTTCCTGGGAACAGCAGTGCAGGGCGAGGTGTGGTGGGCTGGGCACTTCCTCCTGTGAATCACTGTGAGTCTGAACATGGTGATCAAACAAGAATAGGTCTCCTGGCCCCTTCTCTGACTTCACTCCTCCATTGCCTTATAGGTTTCCTTTCCCCTGAGGCCCTGCTTCAGGGAAATGGTTATCACAGTAAAGTCAACAATTGTGTTTGTACAGTGCTCTCCTATTTTCAGCAGTTCTTACACATTACCTTACTTAATCTTCACCACGACCTTGTGAGTTGAGGACAAGGCAGGTGTTACCAGCATCCCCAGTAAGTCTGGTCATACAGGCAGTCTTGGGCTGTCTCTAAGCAGGAGACTTACAGCTGTTTGTTTGCATGGTTTCTCTCTCTGTCTCTCTGTCTCTCTGTCTCTCTCTCTCTCTCTCTCTCTCTTTCTCTCTCTCTCTCTCTCTCTCTCTCTCTCTCTCTTGCTCTCTAGCTTTCTTATCTCTCTCCCTCCCTCTCTCCCTTATTTCCTTTCTCTTTTTCTCTCTCTTTTCTCTCTCTCTCTTTGTTACTAGATTTGCTCTTGAACATGAAGGTAAAACCCATTTGTTGCTTTCCTCTTACCTGAAAGAGGAAAGAAAGAAACTAGGTTATTATCTGCCTTTTGTTTCAGTGGATAGACTAGCTTTATTCTCATACTAGCTTGTCCTTACAGTTTTTTTCTTCTTTTATTTTTCCTTGTGGTTGGGAGAAGAAAGAAAACTGATACAACACAAGACAGGTGTCAGGGCCCAGAAGAAGGAGTCATGGGGCGGAGATCGGAGGCTTTGATCACTTGTGCCTATCTCAAAAATATAATAACAAATAAAAGAAATTTTATGAACATGTTACAAATGTTTAAAGAAGAGAATTGCTTCTTAAAAGGACATAATTCCAGCTTTTCTTTATGGCTTCAATGAACCAACTCCCAGGGGCGTGTCCTCTGAGCCAACTAGGAAGCAGTGAGCTACTTGGGGACAGAACTGGTATGACAATAGGCCAAGTATCAAAAACCCTGTTGTTGGAGTAGGGAGGTTGATTGTTATGAAATCTTTAGAAATTATCCTAAATGCCAATTTGGGAGTCTGGATGACACAACTGCTGTGTTACCTAAGAACACACTCTCTCTCTGAACTATTTTTCCTATTTAGGTAACCAGAGAAGACAAAGACCTGCACAGAAAGATCCACCGGATCATTCAGGAAGACTGCCAGAAACCAAACCGTAAGTGGTGCAATGTACAGGTGACACCCTGGTGCCCTGGAAGGGGATGCTTCCTCCCAGAGAGCACTGAGGGGAGAGTCAGGAGACCTGGGGCTTTTCCCTGTAGTGACTTAGGGAGAGGATAGTCAAGGCACCAGCCCTCTCCAAGCCTCTGTTTCCTCCTCTCCCAAGTGGGTGATAGCACACTTGTTCTGACCTTGGCTGCATATAAGATGCAACCTTGGAGCTCTTTCAAACAAGCCAGGTCCCAGCCTGGGGATTCTGATTCTGTAGGGGATGGGATGGGGGTGGACAGGTAAGCTCCCCAGATGATTCCGGTACAATGAGGTAAGCCACCACTCTTGGACTTTTTGATATCTTTCTGGTTCTTGTGTTCTCTCTAATTTGTGTTATTGCTTATTTCATGCTTGCCCCTTATTCTTTGAGCATGCACCTGACATTTCCCTCTCAACTTGAAAGCCTTTCAGTGTTGGAAGGAATGGGTTTAGATATTCCAGTTTATGAGTGGTATGATGCATTCATCTTGGAAACAATTTGCAAAAGAAATGCTTTAGAAAGTGGTTCAGTGGAGTTAGTTCAGCCCCTAGTGGTTAGACACTCAAACTGCAGCTCATCTGACAATGAACATTACCATTTTCACACTAGTTAGAAAGAGAAGAAAGTATTAGTTCTATCTTTAAATCCCATGTGAACTGATCAGTCTTAAAGATGACTTTTCAAAGTCTACTGTTTGCAAACATGTGCTAATAACAAGTGTTGGAAAGGTTTGCTAATGACTCCAGGTTCCCTGGTCTGCAGAGAAGTCCACCTCCAGTTCAGCCCATACATCCCTGAGCCCGGGCTTGCGCCCAGCTGAGTCAGTAGGTGGAGCTGGGCCAGGTCTCCAGCACTGGTGTTTATGGTATGCAGCCCTCTTTGGCCTTTAAGAACCTATGAGGTCAGATCCCAGAGTGGTATGACAACACTTCTTAAAATAAACTCAAAGCAATCTATTATTTTAATGCAAGTAAGTGAACTCTGTTCACTTCATTCAGAACAGTAAGAACAAGTATCCTTTAATTGAGGGGAAACCCTGTCTATCCAAAGTCGAAGGAGCTTTTGAGAGCAGTGCAATGTGGGATTCTTCAGTTAAAAAGGGATGAGAAGATGTTCCCAAGATACCATCCTTGCACTCATCCTAGTTCCAGGCCCCTGGCCAGATGCTTTTTTTGTTTTTCTTTGAAGCAGTCTCACTTTGTTGACTGGGCTAGACTGCAGTGGCATCATTGCAGCTCACTGCAACCTCAAACTCCTGGGCTCAAGTGATCCTCCTGCTTCAGCCTCCTCAGTAGCTGGGACTATAGGCACGTGCCATGATGCCCAGCTGATTTTTCTGTTTTTTTAGAAACGGGGTCCTGCTGTTGCTCAGGCTGGTCTCCAACTCCTGGCCTCAGGCAGTCCTCCCACCTCAGCCTCCCAGAGTGCTAGGATTACAGGCGTGAGCTAGCGCACTGGCCCAGCTGCTTATTTTGTTTTGCAATTCGGAACAGAATGGATTGAAGCCTAGGGCTGGTGAAGCAAATGAAAAGAATTCACACTTACTTCTTAGGAGAGCCTAACAACCTAGGTGACCGGAGGGGCTCTAAAAGTGGCAGGTTTTGCATCCACCCACAGGCCAGCTCCAGCGTCAGTAAGTGTCAGGGTGGTCAGACTCTACCAGCCAGTCTGTGCGTGGAGCCTCAGAATGCCACAAGCCAATCACCTGCCACTAACCAACTCCCAGGAGCTGAATTCTGGAGCCTGAGTAACTGAGAATGCTGACGAAAAACCTCGTAGGGACTGTCCTGGAATCGGCTGTTACTGTTCCTCTTCATCGTGCCATAACTTATGGCCTTAGCAGTTGTTCTGAATAATAATGTATGCACGTCATAAAAAGTCAAACAATGCGAAAGTGCAGACAGGAAAGTCAGACTCCCTCCCAGCACTGCACCCCAGGCTCTGTGTTCCCTTCGGCAAAGGCAGCCATTGTTACTAGTTTCCTGCATATCCTTCTAGAAATGTATGTGCACTCACAAACATATTTGTATAGTTATCCTCTTGAGAAAACATAAGTAAAGGTTAGCAAACAATACACATTATCCCACACCTTGTATTTTTGGTCTAACATTGGCTTCTGGAGGTCATTTGGGAACAGTATGCATAAAAGTGCCCCAGTCTCTGTAATAGCTGTACCGTATCCCATTATATATGTAGGTAGACCCTCCATCTAACCATTCGTGCTGGGCCTTTAGTTTGTTTCTAACCTTTCGTACAAAATGTAGCATTGAGTTTTTCCTTGTAGAAGGCCTTGAAATCTTAGTCATTTATGAGTGTCTCAGCAAAGGCTAAACCTACAATAATGAAAGAACTATGAACACGAAGCCCAGTTTGAGTCCCTGATGGACTGATACGGGTTGTCTAAAGACGGGCAGTGTGGCCTTGGGAGGAGCTGGGCTCTGGAGCCTGGGTTTGAATCCCAGCTCTGCCACTTTGCAGCTGTGTAACTTTGGGCAAGTCTGTGCCTCAGGTTCTTTTTATGCAAAATGGGGATAATAAATAATAGTACCTACATGATGGGTTGTTGGAGAAGTTAATGAATTGGTGTTTATGCATGTAAATAGGGCTACCCAAAAAAGGGTTAAATAAAAATGAAGTTCTGTCTCCTGATGGCACAGGTGATAGCCCTTAACTCTCTAGCCTAAAGTCTGGAAGGCTCACTCTGTTCTTAATATTGGTCTGGAACGAAGGTGTTTCAGATAGAATCTGTGTGTGGATTTTGCTCTATTATTGTTGGGCTAATGTTAAAAAAATCTGGAGTTTGGCTTTAAGTATGGGTACAGCAATGTCAAATTACCCAAAAAGAAAGAGTTCCACATTGAAGATGTCTTTCTATCCCCAGCTTTTTATTCTGAAAATGTTCCAACCTATAGAAAAATTAAAAGGTGAATGTAGAAAACACCCATATACCCTTTAGCTAGAGTCACTAAAAATCTGGAGTTTGGCTTTAAGTATGGGTACAGCAATGTCAAATTACCCAAAAAGAAAGAGTTCCACATTGAAGATGTCTTTCTATCCCTAGCTTTTTATTCTGAAAATGTTCCAACCTATAGAAAAATTAAAAGGTGAGTGTAGAAAACACCCATATACCCTTTAGCTAGAGTCACTAAAAATTTCAGCTTGTATTTTCTAAGCATAGGGACATTCTCCTATATGACCAAATTATTTCAAACCTAAGAAAATGAACATTTGATGGGTGGGTTCTAAAATGGCAGCATTTCACTAGGTGATGACTTTATACCATTAGCTTTTCAAAAAGCTTACATGTGTGTAGCTCACATTCATTCTAACTGTCCTTAGAGCTGGATAGTACTGCTGCTTTCTGTGGAAACTGAATACCGTATGACACTACTCATGCTGGAGTAATGTTTTTTTGGCTTATGACAATTTTTTTTAAAAGACTGTTAAAGCAATTCCCTAACCTCTCATAGTTACAGTAGTAGATTGTAGCTGAAGTTTATCTTACTGTGATTTGGGTCTTTAGAGCATTGGCATTTGGGGTTCCTGGTGGAGGTATGGGACAAGTGAGGCTAGATGCAAATGTACTTAGGAAAATATAAAGTGCAGTTACCGTTGTTCTTTGAGGTGCATTTTAAGATAACTATTGCTGCGCGGCAGACGCTTCTCAGAAAAGTGTGCTTCAGCTTGTGGGTTTGTTCCAGAAGAGTTGAGTGATACCATGGTGCTAACTGCTGGGGAACTGCTTGCTGGCTTTACTACTTTTACTATTTTCTAATAATGTCCCATATAGAGCAGAGTCTAAGTTCATGTTACCCGTGTGACTGGAAGGTCACTTTTGAACAGCCTCACCAGACAACCCTCAGACAGCAGAACAGCCTTTCTGAAGAAATAGTTGAAGGCTTCAGGGACAGTCAGCATCACTGCTTAGGGGCCCATGTATGGCTATAAGTCACCTAGAACTCTGAGCCCGAGCATCCAGGCCTCACAAAAACTAAAGTTAGAAGCCAAGGGGCACTGAAATTCCTGGTACTGCTTTCTGCTGTGAGCGCCGATGTGGTTGGAGTCCTTCAGCCTCCATCATCAGGGTGCCCTCCCCACCCTGCCTTGCTATTCAACTTTTCCTCCTTGTGAGTCCTTTCCTTTTTCTTCTCCTTCATTTCCTTCCTCCTCTCCTTTTTTAGAGACAGGGTCTTGCTCTGTCTCCCAGGCTGGAGTGCAGTGGCATGACCATAGCTCACTGCAACCTCAAACTCTGGGCTCAAGCAATCCTCCTGCCTCAGCCTCCCGAGTAGCTGGAACTATAGGCATGTGCCACCATGTCTGGATAATTTTTTTCTTTTTTTTTTTTTTTTTTTTTAAGACAAAGTCTTGCTGTGTTGCCCAAACTAGTCCTGGCCTCAGTCAGTCGTCCCGCCTTAGCCTCCAGAGTAGCTAGGACTACAGTTGTGAGCCACTGTGCCCAGCCCGAAGCTTCTTTAGAGCAGAAACTAAGTTATGTTCATCTTCTTAGGTTATGGACGTAATAATAGAATCATAGTAGTTCTCCATGAGAAGCACCCTTCATGGGTCTTTTATCCACATAAACCACCCTATTCCTGTGAGCCACTTGGCCCCGGTCATAGAGCCAGGACTTGAGTTCAGGTCTGATGGACTCCGGTGGCAACTGTCTGCCACACTCTACTTGCTCCTCCTTGCTCAATGCTACACAACACTGTAGGTGTTCAGGAAGCCTTTATCGAGTGGGTGTTGAAGAAACAGCCTGGAAATGTGGAGGGAGACCTGCCATCCCAGTGAGGAGGTGTAGTGAGTGGGCCCAGCCACTAGAGGTCAGAATACAGCAAATCTTCGTTAGCCCCAGCAGCCATCTCTGAACCTCAGAGCTGGACAGGGCCTCAGAGGTGGTCCCCCCTCCCCATAGCTGGGAACAGTGCGGCTTACGGATGCTCTGGCTTGCCCAAGGCTACAGAGGCACACCGAATCTTGAACCGTGCTTTGCCCTACACCACAGTACTTCTTTGAGCACCTTCCTGGAGCCTAAATCATTTTTTCATCTGAAACAACATTCAGTGGCTGTGTGGAGCAGCTTTTGTGTGCCAGGTGCTGGTATATGACAGAGGGAGGGCACGCCTGGCCCTGCCATGGAGCTTTAAACTGTGAAAACTGGGAAGGGCTTGCTTATACTAATGAGGTTCCACTTTGACTCAGAAATACATTGTATGTCATGTCCCAATAAATTATATAATTCTAATGCATAAGAGAATTATATAATTCTAATGCATATATATATAAATAAAGTTTCACAAAATAATACTTATCCAATTATAATGCAATGTATTCTGTAATTTTCTATTCTGGTCTATTTTAGTCTGTTTGCTAAGAAAAAATGCTAATCACAACCCACAAAAATTGATTTCATGACCCTCAGCCTGACTTACACTGCTCTGAATAATTGATTTCAACTGGGCAAGAGGTTACTAAACCCAAACTTTTATCATTGTATACCAAATGGTCTTAGTTTTGGGTAGAGGGTAAGAGGTTACTATTATAGAACAGAACCATCACAGACAAGACTTCTTGGAGGCCAGGAAGGGAGGAATGAGAACAGGCCAAAGGTAGGAATCCCTTCTCACCATGGCAGCCTCATCAAATCAGGACTACGGGAAGGAATACGCGGGATGCAGCAAATCAGCTCTGCTGCGCATCTCAAGGGGGCCCCACCGGGGTAGCTAGAGGTTTTGCACTGAATATGTGCACTTACATGTGTAATTGCACTAGAGAAAAAAACTTAATCAAGCACTAAAAATCCATTAGGTTGTGGATATAAAATCATTGATTGGGAATCCTTCAAAGTTGAAGGTCAGAGTCCCTGAGCAGCAGGTCTGTGTTGCTGTGATGACATATGGGGCCTGAGAACAGGTTTTTTTGTTTTTGTGATAATCTAGACCACTGCATCTCCAACTTTAATGTCCATCAGAATCATCTGAGGATCTTGTCAAAATGCAGGTGCCAGTTCAGGAGGTGTGGAGGGAGAAGACAGAGGAGGGTCTGGCACTTGTGTCCAAGCTCAACCGCTTGCCTTTTTCCCACAGACGCGGAGAAGGGCTGCCACTTCCTGCACATCTTGGCCTGCGCTCGCCTGAGCATCCACCCGGGCCTGAGTGAGGCTGTGCTGCAGCAGGTTCTGGAGCTCCTGGAGGACCAGAGTGACATCATCAGCACCATGGAGCACTACTACACGGTGTTCTGAGCAGAGGCCACAGAAATACACGCGGACAAGAAAGTTGAGGTGGCATTCACCCCAAGGCTCTGATTTTATACATCATGCAGGGGCTTATATGAAGGCAGTTACCTCCTAACACACTACAAAATATGGTCATTCAGAGAATGGAATTTGACATAAATGCTGTTGGCTTCCTTCTACCTCTTGTATCCTTGAGAGACTGACCTCACCATGACATACAAGAAAACCCTCCCTGTTGACCTCCTGGCTGGGCATCACTGATGGAGCAGCATGGGGACAAAACAGTTTTGGCAGCTTCCTTGGCATGTGTGTGTGGAGGCCCTGCGTGGCAGAAGAACACCATGGGATAAAGGCCCACATGCTGCGGAACTGAAGCACACACTCCCAGACCACACAATTCTAAACTTTTTAAAACATCAGGTTATCAGAGGCATTTCTGTGGGCCTCCCTTAATGGTTAAGAACTGGCTTAGGAAGGTACTGCCTGTTGAGTGTCACTTGCCTGTGGTTTCTGTAGCTTAAGCACCAGTGGTGGGGCCTGGGGCCTGGGTTTATGTTCCTTACAGAGTTACCCAGAGATGGGAATAAACAGGGATCCCAGGCCTGGCTCTGTGTTTGTCACTTTCCATTTATTTCCCTCTGAATCAAAAGGTATCTCAGTACATTTCCCTGCACTTACAGAGGTGCATGACCAAGTGCATCATCCCTCAGTGTCCCTGAAGATCCCAGAGGCGTCAGCCAATTGCCTGGCAGGCAGTAGATGTTATTTTCAAGGTTGCTGCTGAGTGTGCAGGACGTGCTGACACCACCAGACAAAGACTCGGTATGTGCCCAGACAGGTGATGGAGTCATGCTTTTGCTCGGAATGACAAGGTAAAGGAAAAACATCTGAGGTATGTAGTAGGCTTGTTCTAACAGCAAAATGACAGATTGAACCAGCGAAAATAAAGTGTGGAGAAAGAGTTGGAGTTAATTACAGTCATTTCACAGAAGGCACATTTCATAGACGCTGTCTTTGCTGCGTTTGCTTTTGATGCAGTAAACCCTTAGTGGCTCGGCTGGAGACTGCAGGCCAGGAGAGTTGCTCCCCCTGCCCTGGGAATGGGATGGTTTTTACACTGAGAAGTCAGCTGCAGCTCAGTATGTCAGGCTGAGAGCTAGTACAGGCAGATTACTTCTGTCGTGGACTTTCCTAATGATTTAAACCTTTTCTGATTTCTAACAGTGGTTATACAGACAGCTGTCCTTTGTCTTCCCTGTGTTCAGAGGGTGCCTGTAGAATAGGATCTGCCTGGAATGGCGTCCTGGCCGTTCTTCCTTGAGGTCAGGAGCTGTTCCATACTGAATACATCTTTGAGTAGTGGAGCTGCCCAGGAAGGAGTCTAGAATCTGTGTAAAAAGGGCATATCCTTGCACACAGCAACTCCTAGGGGTTTATCTCAAGGAGGTCACCACGCAAGTGTGGAAGGATCATTGCACAAGATGCCCATTGCTATGTAATCTAGAATTCTATAACTGGGGAAAATATATATCTATAGGGAAAAAGTTAATTTTGGTTTATGTACACAATGAAATACTATGCAGCCTCTAAAATGATGGAGCAAACAGATAGTATTGCCAGTCTCACTAAATCTGTGTTCCCAACAGATACAGTGAGAAGGAAATGAAGTTATAGACCTGTTTATAATACTACTGATCTGAAGTTCCCTGTGTGTGTATGTGTGTATCTATACAGAGTGTTTATGTATGTCTTTATAAATGTAGCACATGTATACACAAACATACGGTTAACTGCTCCCCTCCTCCTAGAAGTTCTGCATTTGCCTTTGAGGACACCACACTCTCTGGCTGCTCCTCCCTAGGTTCCTTCGCTCTGTCCTCTGTCTCCCTGAGGGCCCAGGGCTCAGGATGCGGCCCAGACCTCGTTTCTCTCTGGCTTGGTCCCTTGGTGTCTCAGGCAGCCTTGTGGGTCATACCATCTCTATGCTGTCACACTCCCCATCTTACATCTAGATCGGGCCTCTCCCCTGAGCTGCAGGCCCCTGTATCCTACTTCCTACTGGCATCTCCACTCAGGGCTCTAATGGCATCACAGACCTAACAGGTCCAAAGCCAGGCTCCAGTCACCCCCGACCCCAGACTTGCTCCTGCTGAATTCTTCCCTGATTCAGGAAAAGGCAGCTCCGTTTCCCAGTTGCTCAGGCCAAATCCATTGACTTCTTTCTTTCTCTCATACCTCACAATCAATCTGTCTGCAAATCATCTCGGCTCTACCTTCAAAATATTTCTCGAATCTAGCTGGGCACAGTGGCACATGCCTATAGTCCCAGGTACTCAAAAGGCTGAGGTGGGAGGATGGCTTGAGCCCAGGAGTTCGAGCCCAGCCTGGGCAACATAGCCAGACTCCCATCTCTAATAAAAAACATTTTAAAGTTAAAAAATAATTTCTAGAATCTAAGTCTTCTCCCTCCTCCACTCCCCCCCACAGCCCCCAGTGTCACAATCATCTCCTAATGGCCTTCTCTGCTTCCGTCGGGCCCCTCTTAGGACGTTGTCAGCAGGGTAGCCACAGTCGTCCTGTTGTCTCCCATGCTCTGGGGCCTTCAGCCTAGCTCCAGGCAGGGTCAGCAGGGCAGTGCTCTGCCTGGCCCTCCTGCTGTGCCCTGCTCCTCACATTCCTGCCTTAGGGCCCTTGTTGCTGAAATGTTCTTCCCACATAACCATATGATGTGCCTCCCCCTCCCCTTGCTTTTGGGTCTTTACTTGAGTGTCACTTCTCAGTGAAGCTGGCCCTCATTCTTCCTGCTGATTGTAACCCAGCTCTTCGCCCTCCTCCCAGACCTCCCTTCCCTGCCCGATTTCCCTCCACGGTCCTCGTTGCTAGCTAACACACTCCATGTGTTTGTTTCCTCATTGCCCTGTTTATTTTCTGCCTCCTCAATAGAAAAGCATGCTCCATGAGGGCAGAATTCTCTGTTTTGTTTCTTTCTGTGTCCCAGCACCTAGAACAGTACTTGGTATGTCTTTTAAGCAATCCCACTGCTGTGTGTGTGTCTGGCTACCTTCCAGCTGCCGTCTGCCTCTCCCAGGGGCTTCCTCCAGCGCCTTAGAAGGCTGTGCAGGCTGGGAGTGTGCAGCATTCACCCCTTGGAAGCAGCCTGAGCCAGTGGTCCCTGGGGTATAAATACCCCAGCTCCCTCCCCCTGCAGGTGAGATATTTCGAGGCACATGTTCTACACTGTTTTCTAGAGTTTCTCCATGGGATGAAATGCCATCCTCCCACAGTGACAGCTAACTTGATAGCCACCAGCCTCACCCGCCCCCATCAACCCTGCCTGGCTCCTCATTACTGTTTGCTACACCTCCTGATGCATCCCTCGCTTTCCAGTCTTTGTCTCGGGGTCGGCTTCTGGATGAACACAGATTAACACCATGTTCACAAATATGCTTGGGAAATGCCATACGAATAATTATACACGTCAAACAGATAACTGGAAATGCTCACCAAAATGATATACTTGTTGCCTCTGAAAGGTGAGATCTCAGGTGCTTTTTAAAGTACATGTCTGTACTTCGGTTTTTTACAATTAGTGAGCGCCATGTCTACAAAAATTATAAAGCTGTTTGTCACTCCCCACCCCGCGCTCACATAACCTGAATCCTAAGTAAACCAAGAACCAGATAGGCGTTTTTGTTCTAGAGCAACATCGGTACTCTGAGAAGATGAGGGAAGTGTCTGGAAAACGCTGGGGCTAACTACAGGTGGGCCACTGCGTGTGTACTGAAGACTAGCCACAGGGTTTGCCTGAAAAGGAAGCCACAAACATTCTCCAGCTCTCTTGGTGCACACGTGTTTCGGGAGGTGTGAACCCTGCGTATAGTTTATGTCGGCAAGAAGACAAGTAGTGCTACTGTCTGGTCAAGGATTTGTTTGAAGATCTCGTGATTGTCCCCATCTGGTCAGCTACCAGTGCTCTTTATCTCTGTAAGACACTTCTTTCTCATTATTTCCCCCTCTGATGGTGTGCCAGGCCACCAACCAAGACAGAGCCCAGTGGAAAAAAGTCTGCTCAATGATGAGGAACCCAAGACTTGGTGCCAAGGATCGAAACCAAGCAAACTTGTAATTTTCCATTGGCAGAAACATCTATACTTTCTCATTAGCGCGGTTTCCTCCCCACAAGTGGCCTCTACAGCAATTGCCCCAAAGAAGCATCTCACTGTTTCCTCACTAAATTTACATGACGCCAATGGGCACACTCAAAAGGACACGAGGCTTGCTGGGGATGCTGGCAGCAGGCGCTGGGGGAAGGCAGGACCATCCTGAAGGGAGATGGTGTCTGTGGACGAAACCTTGCGATAGAGTTCTTACGTGCGTCCAGTTCCACTGGTGGAGGCTCTACATGTGAGCCTAAACTCCCACATAAGAAGGTTTTCATTGTAATCCAGAATTTTAAACAAATTCAGCCTGTTTTTATTGAACTTTTACAATCTATTAATACTATCTGTTAACCGCTACTGTACTTATTAAATAAACCAAGACAGGTAAGTCACAGCGTAGCACAAGGTTCTGTGTTCACAAGAATTCTACAGCAAACCCCAAATTGCTGAAGAGGCTCAAATCACTCCCTATATGTCAAATTCAAATGGTAGGTTTTCATTTTGGAACATAAAGAATAATTTTAAAGACCACATAATAGCCCTGGGTTTTTTTGTTTTTTTTTTTAAGGTAGAAACAGTAAAGTGGTGTCTCATTAATTCAGACTGATTTGGTAAAGGTCTGTGTAAATTAGTGAAAAATCTGGATTTTAATAATGCTGTTTTATTACTTTGGTTTTTTTACTTTTGATTACTACCCCAGTGATCCTTATTAAATCCGAATTACCACGAAGGAACAGGTTTCTGCTCTTAGGGAACCTGCTTTAATGAATAAGAATGAATTATGTATCATTTATTATTATTCAGTAGCAATTATTATGTATTTGTCATTTAATATTTAGGTGATTTAAAAGTACTTGAACACAAAGGAATTGAAAACATAGCCACACAAAAACTGTACACGTGTCCGTAGCAATATTATTCCTAATAACCAAAAAGTGGAAACAACCCAAATGTCTATCAGCTGATGAATGGGTAAACAAAAAGTGGGATGTTCATACAATGGAAGATTAT